GATCATCCCGTTAAAAAGAATGTTTGTGTGAAGAATAGTGAAGAGTAACGGAGTAACGTGGGGTTATTTCTGGCTTCTGGCTGTTCTGGTCAGATAAGCAAGCAAGGCTTTCACCATAGCTTCATCTGACCACCCTAATATTTTGGCTGCATATTCAAAATCAGCTAAACAATCCAAAATATCTACATCTCCATCTTCACTGAATGGTTGGATGGTGATGTTGATATTTTGCTTACCTGAAACTGAGTTTACAAAAATGGGACTTTGAGTGCCTTAGGTAGGATTTTTAGTCATGATGAATGCCTGAAATCGATTATTGGTCTGTTGACTGCAACAGGTAATAATGATAAAAGAATTTTACTAATTCCCTGACGAAGAAAATGATGGTTTTTAACTTGTGTTAATAAATATGATGGTTGTTTAAAGATGGTAAGTTGTTCAGTCAGAACTCAGACAATGAGTTCCGAACAGTTTAGAGTTGACTTAGAGAGTGTGTAAAATAGTTTTAGTGTTTCTCTTGATTTAAATAGTTAGAATTAATCTAGTTGATATTAAGAAAAAACTCTTGTCTAAAATCGACAAATACAATAAGACTATTGACGTGAATTAGTTCCTTATTTAACTGCATTTGCGTCAATAGAAATTGAATAATGGGAAATTCAGAAATTTGTTTTTTTGTCAATTCTGAGCTTATCTCAGAATAGTGCAGTAATTGAAGTATCAAATTAATACATTTACAGTGCTTACTGTTCATCAAAAAGAAAACATGACATTAATTAATTATCTCATGAATTCTGAACATTTTTCAATGTTATTTACAGCAAAATACAGAACTGAATCTGGACCTGAAATAATATCTGGAATTAGGTGCAATTGGTCTCAAACGATAGAACAACAGTTGATCTATCATATATTGTCCCTTTAAAACATAATTGCATTCATCATGGAAATATCATGAGATAAAGCTTATTTGACCAGCTACAAAAATGGTTGAAACATTAAGATTCTTTTGAAAGATTGATTCTTTTGATTCAGAAAGATTCTTTTGAAAATGTTAATGCTCTACTGCCTCCAAGAAGGGAAACAGTCGTTTCACTTCGAAACACTTCATTATCACCAAAAGCTGTTTCTAAATCACTCAATTCGCCAGAATAAGGCATTTTCTTGATTATCTGTCGATCAATCAGAATTTGAGGTTTCATTTCATGGACGAACATCAATCGATCTCTATTGAGATTGAGCACTTTCCAATCGAGGATGTCAGACGCATTAACAGCCACATAAGTATTATAAGATGATTTGTGATTGTTGGGATTCGTCAAGAAAACACTATCATGAGTTTTAAGATAAAACAATGAATCATCTGGTGTTCTGAATGAATAATGAATTTTTGAATCAAAAGACAAAATTGAAAGGTCCATATTAGAAGGTGAATAAACATGATTATTATAAATGATATGCATCATTATATAATTCTTGATCCTTTTCAAAGCAACTATTATATCCTAAAATTGCCATTCAAAAGTGCGTAAAAAGACGAAAATATATTACCGTCAACTACGATTTTTTCTACTTCTATCGTAATCGCACATCGGTCCAAATTTCAGACACTCAGACTTTAATCAAACACAGTATGCAATTCAAATTTTAATGAATGATTGAAAATTTCTCTATTCCAAGAATAAGTTCTTGCATTTCCGTATTGTCCATTCAATGACCCATTCTACCAGCCAAAGATGCAATTAGAAGAAGAAGATTTGCTATATTTTCGCAAATAAACAATATTTAAATACTCAGACACTTCAATCCATTAGCCATCGTTAAACTGATTTTGTTTAGTTAATAAAATTGATAAACTATACGAACCAGAATAAAATGAAATACAGTGAAATGTAATGAATACCGTAAGGCCCTAAATATAGTGAAGAAATAGCGAGTTTCAACGTGTTCGAGATAGATTATGATAATTCGTTTTATGTCAATAGAACTATTAGTAAAATTCGATAAGTAAAATGAACTGAGTGAGATAAGTTTCTAGGAATAAGAACTGATTGACTAGAATCCAGGAAACCCAACCAAAATATATCAAAGCCAAGTGTTTTCTGGTTGCCCCAGATATTTGCTCATGATTGATTCATCAGTCAAGTTGCGAGAAATCGTTTGGTCTTTGTTTTGGTTTTGATTGGAGTAACTTTCTTCGTGGAAAAATTTGACGAGGTACAGATCGCATTGTGATCCAAAGTGAAGCCTGTTCACTCGATGTTTCGTTTATAATCCTTGAGTCGTCTAGTGTAGCCATTGTTGAGGATACTATTTGCGCTTTAACAGGAGTTATAGCACTTAAGTCAGTTTGTTTTTTTGGTTCGAAAAATTTTATGAACTTTTTATCACTGAGAGTACCGACAAATTGCTTCACTTTTCTTGGTCGAGAAACCTTTTTGGATCTATTTAAATGTTTCTTATTACACTTTCTAAAATAAACTATGAATGCAAATGAATTGATAATTAAACATGAAAATAATACCGAAATTATTATTAATGTGTAATCACTATCAGATGCAAAAATATGAACCTTGTCACTAGATACAGCACTAATGATTGAAGTATCTGCATATCTATCATTTCGTAGACTAACATCGATATTGAATTCGCCCGATTTCGTTAAACGCATAGAGCAATTGATGAATTGTCCATTCATTGCTATGTCAGTGCAATGATTATCACCAGCTTGGATAACTAGTTGCTCTTGAGAAGCCATAATCAGTGGTTTGTCGAGTTCAATTGTTAGTATTGTCGGTGAAGAAGAGTTCAAGATTAAGGGTGAAATGTTCATGATTTTAAAGCAATGGTCGACTGTTAGTGTAACCTTATTTTTAGGTTGATTATCATGAACACAAATTGAAGTGAACCAAATACAGCCAGAATTAAGTCCATACATAATACATTGAGTACAAGTTTTTAGACGTGAACACACTTCAATGGGAATGAAAAGGATTTTATTAGTTTCTTTAGTTACGTAAACAGCTCCATATGGAAGTTTATTAGTATGAAAATCGGCTTCATTGAATTCACTTATATCATCTGGGGAAATCGAGTTTGCATGCAAATTTATGCATTCTAAGGGTACAGAGAACAGGTTACGATATTTACAAATTTTAGTCAAAAAGAAAGGCTTTGCGCGAATTAATATGGCTGCTCTATCGAATGGAGACGGCAGTGTAACAAACTGAGGTTTTGGCATAAAAATTGCAAGACCGTAAAGAGCTCCATCGAGAAGATCCGGTATCTGTCCTGTTACAATGAGACTGACATTTTTTGAAGGAACAATATTGGCCTTTGTTGAACAGCTTTGATAAGAAGTCTTTTTACATTTACCGATTTCTGATCTTAAATGATGCCGTAATAAAGTGATGTTACCAAAACCAGAAGCACATTCATTTGAAGTTTGTTCAAACAATGAAACAATATCATAAATAAAATAAATATAATATATTGTAAAGTTAGAAGGTTGCGATTGTGTTGTGTGTAATTGGTAACGTTGATTTTCGGTAATCAAAGGTCCAGAAAGGAAAACGAAAAACAAATCAATTATCTTATTATTCTCGAATGCTTCTTGAGTGAAATGAATCTCAACTGCACTTGAAATGAGTTCACTTCCTTTGTCGAGACACAATCGTACTATCGATATCTCTTGAGTAACTTTTGCAGACTTTTCATTCCAAATACTTCGCTTAATTGCAAGGTACAATTTATTGTCGAAATGAATATAATCTGTCATGTTCCATTCCTTAATGAACTTCCAATCATCTTTAAGCCAAGGTAAAAATCGACTTACAGAAACCTTTTCACTTTGATCATCGAAATGTAACAATTCAATATAATTCCAATCAGGAATTGGTTTAGTTAAATTTGGATTGAATATCGTTGGAACATGAAGAGCTTCATTATCACCAAAAGCTATTATTGAATCACTCAATTCACCAGAATATTCCATTTCACTGATAATTGTTTGATTAATCAGAATATACGGTTTATTTTGATGTACGAACATTAATTGATTTTTTTTAACATTGATTACTTTCCAATTGAGGATGTCGAACACGTTAGCTACACTTGTTGGTATATCAACTGTAATTGTTTGACCAGCCACATAAATACCATAAGATGTTGTGTGATTTAAGGGATTCGTCAAGAAAACACTTGCATGTGTTTTGTAATAAAACAATGAATCATGTTTGGGTGTTCTGAATGAATATGTTTCTTGAATCAACAGGCAAAATTGAAAGGTCCATATTATTAATAGAAGGTGAATAAACATGTTCATGGTAAATGATGTGCAACATTATATAATTCTTGATTCCTTTCAAATTAACTATCATATCCTAATATTGCCATTCAAAAGTGAGTGGAAAGGAAGAAATTATAATACTGTCAACTACAAATTTTAATAAAATGCTTCTATCGTAAGATTATAAAGGGTATGTACGGTGTTTGTGAACAAATTTAACCAGTTTTTTTTCAGATACTATTTATTTTTTGCCTGTTCAATTGCCTTCTTGACGATTTCTTTGAGTCTAAGATTCCATGAATCAAACTCTCACAAGATCATTTCTGATTCGATTCTTGACCGATTCGGCACATCAAAATTTTGCTCAACTTTGAAATCGATTGTTTACTCTTTTTTGTTCGATATCGCTGTACTCAAATTTGTTTATAAACATCGTAAATGCCTATGTAGAGTTACGAGACATTACATTAATCCAGCAAGCACATCAGCAACAGAATACCGATCATTTTGCGAGTTGAAGTGGATACAGTACGCTCGTACTTCGATTTATGCAAAGATTGATCAAACATTCAATTAGCAAAGCAATTTCAAAGCTGTAAGAACATGAACAAACTTCCAATGTCTCATGAAATTTCAGACACTCAGACTTTAATTATTAAACCAGTATTATTAATAAATATAGTATGCAATGTAAAGTGAAATAAATGAGTGAAAATTTTTCTGTTCCAAGAATGAGTTCTTGCATGTCCATATTCTCCATTCAATGACCCATTCCACCAGCCAAAGATGCAATTAGAAGAAGAAGATTTGTTATGTTTTCGCGAAGAACATGAAATAAACAATATTGAAATACTTCAATCCACCAGCCATTGTTAAGTTTGATTCTGTTTAGTTGATAAATTTGGTGCGACTAAAACGAAAATGAAATAATGAATATCGTAAGGCCCCAAATATGTGAAGAAATAGCGAGTTTCAACGTGTTCGAGATAAATTATGATGTTTAGTTTCATTTCAATAGAACCATTGGTACAAAAAGTGCTCTTCTCAGTTGGGAACAATATTGATTGATCTAAAAGGCAAAGCGAAAAATTGAAATTTTAACATCAATTAATTTCGTGATATTAAGTTACAAGTTTAATGTTTTTGTTTCAAATCTGGACTTTTTGGTTAAATAAAGATCGATAAATTGTCTCGCCATTTAATCTCAAGTTATAAGTAATACCTTATGCTGTCCATAGGCACCAAAGATTCCATATAATTCATATTCAGGAATAAGAATTGATTGACTAGAATCCAAAATTGATAGGTTTCGATGAATCCTTTCAATTGAGTTGTGCTTGTTTTCATTGAATTGGCTACAATAGTATTCCAATTTTCACCTTTCCCATAACTTTTAGTTTCAACTATCAAGTTATCCTTTTCCCTGGTCAAGTGTTTACCAAAAAGATAGACTGAGAATCCAAAAAGAGGACCAAAGTTAGCAGCATTACCAAGCACAACTAAACCTCCAACGGCTGTGATGATTAACCAGAAGTTGCCAGGAATAGAAACTGATTGACTAGAATCCAGGAAACCCAACAAAAATATATTAAAGCCAAGTGTTTTCTGGTTGAACCAACAACCAGCGTTTAATCACCGAATAAGATAAACTACTAACTTTATTTCGACTCATCAGTCACTAAATAGGTCAATTCGACCAGTTGGTAGCTTAAGTAACACCGAAAAACAAGGATATCAATTCATGATTGATTAAACCATGGCGCAACTTGCTGGTGCTCTTCATGTAGCCCTCTGCATTCAAATGATAGTTATTGGTTAAATTGTAGCAACGAATTTGATCTTGAACTTAAAAAACGTAAATCGTAAAAAGCAAATCAATCGAGTTGCGAGAAATCTTTTGGTGATTACTTTCGTTTTGATTAAAGTAATTTTCTTCGTGGGTGCATTCGACGAGGTTCAGATCGCATTGTCCTCCTAAGTGAATCCTGTTCAGTCGATGGTCCATTTGTAATGGTTGAGTCGCTCAGTGTACTCATTGTTGAAGATGCTATTCGCGCACTAACACGGGTTATAGCACTTAATTTACTTGTCTTTTTCGAGTCCAAATATTCTATGAACTTTTTATCACTAAGAGTACCAACAAATCGCTTCTTTTTTCTTCGCCGAGAAACCTTTTTGAATCTATTTAAATTTTCCTTATAAATCTTTCTATAATAAAATATTAATGCGAATGAAGTGATAATCAAACATAAAAATAATAGTAAAATTATTATTAATGCGTAATCAGATTCAAAAATATGAACCTTGTCATTAGATATAGCACTAATGATTGAAGTATCTGCATATCTATCATTTCGTAGACTAACATGGATATTAAATTTGCCCGATTTTGTTAAATCCATAGAGCAAATGATGAATAATTCATATATTATAATGTCAGTGCAATGATTGTCACCAGCTTGGATAACTACTTGCTCTTGATCCTCCTTAATCAGTGGCTTATCGAGTTCAATTTTTAGTATTGTTGGTGAAGAAGCTTCGAAGATTAAGGGGGAAATGTTGATGATTTTGAAGCAACTGTTGACTGTTATTACAGCCTTGTTCTTAGGTTGATTATCATGAACACAAATTGAATTTGACCAAATGCAGTCAAAATAAAGTCCATACATAATACATTGAGTACAAGTTTTTAGACGAAAACACACTTCAATGGGCATGAAAAAGGTTTGATTAGATTCTTTAGTTACGAAAAGAGCTCCGTGTGGACGTTTATTAGTATGAAAAACGGCTTCACCGAATGCATTTATAAAAGAGGACGACTTTGCAGAAATACTCATGCATATTGGTGTTTCAGCGACATTATATTCACAAATATCAGTTTGCACGAAAGGGTTATCCGGCATTATTATGCTCGCTGTATCAAATGGATAGGGCAGTGCAACAAACTGTATCTTATGGGGTACAGTTAACCGAAAATTATAACGCGCATTAAGAGAAGTTGATAATTTTCCAGTTACAACGAGACTGACATCTCTTGAAGGAACAATATTTTCCTTCGTTGAACAACTTTTATAAGAAGTCTTTTTACATTTACCGACTTCTGATCCTAAGTGATGCCGTAATAAAGTGATGTTACCAAAACCAGAGGCACAGTCATTTGAAGTTTCTTCAAACAATGAAACAAAATGGTCAATATAATAGACATAATAAGCTTTTGTATTATCTGAAGTCTGTAATTGTGTTGTGTGCACTTGGTAACGAATGGTGTCATTATATAAAGGTTTAAAAAGGAAAACGAAAAACAAATCAATTATCTTGTTGGACTTGAATTCTTCTTGAGTAAAATGAATATCAACTGCACTTGAAATAAGTTCACTTCCTTTATCGTATTATTGATATCTCTTGAATAACAGATAGATCATCATCTAAAATACTTCGCTTTATAAGAAGGTACAATTTATCGTCGAAATGAATATAATCTGTCATGTTCCATTCTATAATGAATTCCCAATCCTCATCCAGCCAAGGTAAGGATCGAATCACAGAAACCTTTTCATTTTCAGCATCGAAATGCAACAATTCAATATAATTCCAATCAGGAATTGGTTTAGTTAAACTTGGATTGAATATTATTGGAACATGAAGAGCTTCATTATCACCAAAAGCTATTATTGAATCACTTAATTCACCAGAATAATTCATTTGCATGATTGTCTGTCGATTAATCAGAATTTGAGGTTTCTTTTTATGGACGAACATCAATCTTTTTTCATTGAGATTGACCACTTTCCAATTGAGGATCTCAGACACACTAACAACACTTGTTGGTATATCAATTGTTATTGTTTTACCAGCCACATAAATATCATAAGATGTTGTGTGATTAGTGGGATTCGTCATTAAAATACTGTCATGTGTTTTATAATAAAATAATGAATCATGTTTCGGTGTTCTGAATGAATATGTTTCTTGAATCAAAAGACAAAATTGAAAGGTCCATATTAGAAGGTGAAAAAACATGACTATTATAAATGATATGCTACATTATATAATTCTTGATTCCTTTCAAGCAACTATCATATCCTAATATTGCCATTTAAAAAAGAGTGAAAAGGAAGAAATTATATTCTCGTCAACTACATATTTTGCCACTTCTATCGTAAGATTACATGTAGAGTTAAGAGACTTTGCATTTATGCAACAAGAAGCTCAGCAACAGAATACCGATTATCTTGCGAGTTGAATTGGATACGGTTCACCCGTACTTTGCTTTATTCAAAGATTGTTCAAACATTTAATTTGCAAAAGTCTTAAGGTCTAAATTTCAGGCACTCAGACTGCAATTAAATACAGTATGCAATGTAAATTGAAATAAATGAATGAAAATTTTTATATCCCAAGAATAAGTTCTTGCATTTCCATATTGTCCATTCAATGACCCATTCCACCAGCCAAAGATGCAATTAGAAGAAGAAGATTTGTTATGTTTTCGCAAATAACCTGAAATAAACGATATTTAAATACTTAGACATCATTAAGTTGATTTTGTTTAGTTGATAAAATTGGTAAACTATACGAACCAGAATAAAATGAAAAAATGAATATCGTAAGGCCCCAAATATGGTGAAGAAATAGCGAGTTTCAACGTGTTCGAGATAAATTATGATGTTTAGTTTCATGTCAATAGAACCATTAGTAAAAAGTGCTCTTCTCAATTGGGAACAATATTGATTGATCTAAAAGGAAAGCAACTTTTTTGGTTAAATAAAGGGTCGATAAATTGTCTCGCCATTCAATCTCAACCAATAAATTGTTCAAGTCATACCTTATGCTGTCCATAAGCACCAAGCCAGAAATGGACGGATAATCCACTAATGAAATTGATTACTCCAAAGGCAATCAAAGAGATTCGTAAAAATTTATGTACTTCAACGAAAAAAATTAGATAAAGTAAAATGAACTGAGCGAGATAAGTTGCCAGGAATAAGAATTGGTTGACTAGAATCCAAAATTGATAGCTTTCGATCAATCCTTTCAATTGATTTGTGCTTGATCTCATTGAATTGGCTACAATAGTATTCCAATCTTCACCTTTCTCATAACTTTTAGTTTCAACTATCAAGTTATCCTTTTCACTGGTCAAGTGTTTACCAAAAAGATAGACTGAGAATCCAAAAAGAGGACCAAAGTTAGCAGCATTACCAAGCACAACTAAACCTCCAACGGCTGTGATGAGCAACCAGAAGACCAAGTAAATGATAAACTGTGATGGATAAATAAAGAGCGAAGGTGTGCCACAAAGGAAAGCAGCTAAACCACCAAGAATATACGAAATGTGACTCAATTTGATAAAGTATTTGTGTACAATTGTTGGTAAACCAGAATGTGGGTGAACTTTGGTTGAACCAAATTGATCAAAAATGACTCCAATGGAAACCCATTTTTGCAGTGAAGGTTTAAACTGTGAAACATAAAGTGCCAGTGAACAAGTGAATGCAGCGGAAAACCAACCAAAATATATTAAAGTCAAGTGTTTTCTGGTTGCACCAACAACAAGTGTTAAATCACCGAGGTAATAGGATAAACTGGTAACTTCACTTTGACTCAGGTTAATCAGTTGTTTGATCATATTTGTTAGGCAAACGGCAAATGATAATGGGAAAAACAACTTGAAAGACTTGGATTCATCAGTCACTAAATAGGTTAAATCAACCAGTTGATAGTTTAGGTAACGACGAAAACCGGGATATCTATTCATTGTTAGTCTTGTCCGAGTCGACTATTAAACCATGATTTACTTTTCTGGTGCTCGTCGTGTAGCCTAAGACATTCAAATGGCAGTCATTGGTTAAATTTTAAAATTAATTTTAAATGTTATTGCATTTGCTCAATGGAATTGAAAATTTCAACTTTTGGTTCGTCATTTGTCTAAGTTAATTATCGAATCGATTTTTTATTTCTTAATGCCTTTGTTTACCAATTTATGTAATCAATTTGAAACATGAACTTTTCTCATTGTTTTTACCTTATTCTCGTCATTCTTAACTTTTCATGTCAACCAAATACAATGGTTTACATCGTTTTTTACTTCGATTAATCAACTTTTCATAATTTCCAACAAAATAAATGGTCGTTAAATTAACCATAACATGCATATTTCAAATGTATCATTTGCATACCTGCATTGATTCATGTTTTTACAAGCATTTCTTTTCTCTAAATTTGTTAAAGATTCATTAAGATTACTCTGGAGATCAATAAAATAGGACCATTTAGGATTACGTCTTGTAAATTGATTTCGAGTTTAAAAATCAATTCATTGATGTTGTTGCTGTTGAACCTTTGCTATTCCTATTCATCTTCAACTGAACTAATTTTCTGGTTAAAATTAAACTGTAAAAAATCTCTATTACACATCATGAAAAACATCATATTTTTCGAGGCTGTGCAAGCTTTTAATGTTTACGAAAGCATGGTTCCTTTAGAATCCCTCATATCTCCATGTTAAATCTCCATCTTTATTTTTTTTCTTGTATTTTTCATCTTTTTTATATTTTGTTGTCAGTTCCACTGATCAGTTATGACGTCTTATAGCTTCATTGAATCAATTAAAGGTTACGATCTATAAGTGTACTTAATGCGATCAAAGGTCAGTCAAAAGAATCAATCAAAACAAAATAATTTCATTGTCAATCTCAAAATGAATATTCATATAAAACAAATGTTCATTGATTAGTGAGAAATCTTGCTCATTCAGAATAACAAATTGAAATGTATAAAAATAAGTCCTTTTGTATGATTAATAATGTTTTTTCAGTTAGTGAAAAAAGTTGATTCCCACTTCAGTCGAGATGAAGAAACTGTTGAATATCAAGTTTCCAAAAGTACCGGATGTGGCAAAAGTCATGGTCAGCTTATTTTCCGCTTTTTCTCAGTAACTGTGATAGCTATCGTGTGCTAGGTGTTTTTTTCGAGCCGGTTGAGTTTTGTAGTAGTTTCTATCAATAGTTATTCACAAAGATATGCTGTACCTGACTTATGCCCCAACCGATAAATAAAAGATTTGCTGTTAGTAGTATTGAAACATATTCTCCTGGCTCATAAACCGGAAATGGAAATGGGGGAAATTCGCGCGCCCCTCAGTACCCCTCAGTAGTAGGAAACATACGCTTCAAGCACAGGAAGTCGGAAATAGGGAAGACTTCCGGTTTCAGTACCAAATCACCGATTTTTGTAAATTGGTGCAGATATATTCAAGTTAATTTTTTTTTGTGTTTTGTTGGCTGAGAAACCTAAAAATTTGTGGATAAGCATAAAGTTGATGTTGTACTGACTCACACAAACACACCAACTCTAACACACACACACTAGATTGAAAAAAAGAAACAAGCAATGAGTTGAGAGTTGAAAGTGATTCAGGAAAAACGCGCGCGCGCCGAACTCGCGAGATCATTGTTAGCGTTGATTTCCGTGAACCCGCGAGAACAAGGATATCATTGAACTCGCGAGATTAAGGATTTCCATGTTTACGGCAGATCAAAGAAATCAGTTTTTAATGTTTAATCATTTTTTATTATGTTTGCCTGGTCGTTTTAACGGTTTTTAGGTGCAAATCGGATTTGACCACAGTTACAATATGTTGGTTGATATTGTTTAATAAAACAATTGATATAATTTATTTTTTTGGGCGCACAACTCTTGAAAAATTGAGGTGACGTTCATCCACCATTAAATCATCCATTTATTTTTTTATCTCGGCAGGTACATTAAAATATTTTATTTTATTTCCAGCTTCGTCAACTCTCTCTTTGAATTTCGACGGGTCTCTACAGAAGACCTGTCCCTATGGAAATTTACAGGGACGAGAGTTTTTTACTTTTCCAAGTTTTTAATACCTTATTCTACTGCTCTAGAATTGCAGGCTATAGTTTAAAAATTCAGAGAATCTCTGGTTCTACCAATCACATGTTCTTTAAGTTGTTCATATGTAGTTTCACAATAGGCACATTTGAATACAATAGGCTGTTCTGTAATTTCCTTTAAAGCAATGTCTTTCTACTTGTCGATATGATTTGCAGAACCTCCAGCCCATTTATACAATGCTTCCACACTAACTTGCTCCATGGTTTCCAGCTCATCTGGACCACAAAATCTATCTTCAGGGATTATGGATCGATCACATTCATCACCTTTTAAAATTTGATTGTCAGGAGTGATTGCAAAAATAGGTGTTGTGACAGGATAGTGTAACATGCAAGAGGAGACGGCTACAGTTTGTTGTGGTTTTATTGGTTTTTTTATTTCGACGTTTTCTTTTCTTATGTTTTACCTGAGTGGAAGTTGAAGCACATGGCTCTGAGTCTGAATATTCATGTTCAATCCAGATTCAGATTCAAATTCATGTTCATTCTGATATTCATGGGTGTCATCATTTTCTTCATTATTACCCTCGTTCCTCTATTCATGACTCGGCCCGGCCTCACCAAAATCGTTATTATACTCATCTACATCCATGATGAGATCATCTTCACCGTCAAGCTGAAACATATCTGGCACTGTAGCCAAAGGAAGTCTAGTGGCTTGCGGTTGAGCTTCTCTGTCAGTACGTTTTGTTTTTGCAGCAGAGTTCAATACAATAATTCCTAACATGAAAAAGAGATTTTAAAAATTATTTTTTGATTGCAATTTATCATTATTGATCTAAGAATGAATAAATGTATGTTATTTGCAAAAACCACTAAATATTTATTTTTAGGTTTAAATTGGTGTCGAAAACAATATCAGTCATTATTAAACCAAAAATCCAAAACGTTATTTTTCATCTAAATTCAAATTTAAAAATTATTTTTTAATCACAAATTGTGCACTAACTAATCATCAACGAAAAATGACTGAAACAAGTCCACAAAATGTTTGCGGTCAGTTGAAAATTTAAAAATAAACATGGTACATTTTAACATCAAAATGTTGATATCAAAGCAAACGATATGATATTTATCTATATGGTGCAAATACTCATATCGAACACCTCTAGAATAAAAATAAAAAGCTGGTCACCACATAATAATGATCCAAACAAGTAGAAATTTTCCATCTTAGTTATGTTCATCTGATGTGAGCTAAATAAAAAATAAATAAATGGATTACACAAATTCAGAGATTAAGAGATTAAAATCAGGATATTATATATATATATATATATATTTTGATAAATTAAACTCACTTGTTTTTAACAGGATTCGTTTTAATCTGATAAATATGTTTAGAGCACTTGTAATAAAATTTGAGCAGCACAATATAAATCATGTTTTAACTTACTAGTTTAAAACTACATTTGATAGTGTTAGAAAAATCAGCTCAAAATTTGTTTTTATATGCACTTAAAATGATGTGGACTTAGATGAAAAAAGTTGTTTCATTTGCTCATTATTTATTCAACAATTTTGCTACCATCAAGCAAGCTGAACCTCCAATTGCTGTATTTTAATAACATAATTTGCATTTAAATTGATTTTTCCACTTGAAAAAGGCCCAAATTCATGGTGATTTGTTCCACATGAAGCAAACCGGTTTCCAATAAACTTGTTTTATTTGTTCAGCTTTAAAATGTATCAATTTTGATACTGTTAAGAATCAACTCTAAATTGGATTTGGAGTTTTTGACAACTTGGTTTATTTTCTCAGCTGCACAATGTATCAATTTTACTTCTATCAATCAAACTAAGTATTCACAACAAATTTGTTGCGCATAAAACAACCAATCAACGAGTTTAAACTCGTGCAAGTAACCTTTTGAAAGTTCATTTAAGTTTAATCAGTTTGAGGATTTTAATGTCATTCCAAATAAATAAGAATCAAAGCAAAAAAAATTGGAAATTGAATCAACTCAAATTAAAAAAAAATTAAATAAGAAGTTCAGAATATACATTTATCTGCATTGATAAAAGATGTACACTATTTACTTAAAGCATCCTTTTACCATGCTGTATGCTGGTCCAAGTGGCTGTGGAAAGACGTTTTGGCTTGCTTCACTCTTGAAAAGTTTGAATTAATTTATTCACCCAATATCATTAACAGTCGACTATTTTTATGCTGAGTACCAACAGCTGTTTTCCACAATGCAAAACGTTAACTTCATACTAGGTTTACCTGCTTTTGAGAAAATAAATAAAAATTCGCCTAAATTGGTAATCATAGACGATATGATGACAGAATCCTCGAATTCAAAGTTAATTTCACAGCTTTCCACACGTGGTAGTAACCATAAAAATCTTTCGGTCATACTTATCGTTCAAAATTTATTCGTCAAAGGTGCAGAAAGCCGTAATATATCGCTTAACGCACATTACATAGTGCTCTTCAAAAATCCTAGAGATAAGTCAATTTCCGCAATGTTGGCTAGACAAATGTTTCCAAATAAGATAGTAAAGTTTCGGATAATATGTGATACATATTTGTTTATCTCTCCAATAAATGGCTGGATAGATTTCCGGTTCATATGAAACATTATTATTAGATTGTACCAATTTTGTAACATCAATCAAATATTTGGTTTTTCCTGTTCCGGTCATATTCACAACTTTAATGAATTCGATTTTGTCGAGCGGGAAAATTTGCTGAATGAACTTACCTCCATCCTTGATCAAAGTGAATCCTGTTGCAACGATCTTGCCAGACTCGAAAATACAGTAAACTTTTCTTTCCGTTCTTGACAACATCAGAATTGAATCTTTTGTCTGTCTTACCGGATTTCCCTACAATATTTGTTTTTCTACCGAGATCACAAAGAGTCACAATATTAACAACTTTCAGTAAGGTTAATTTCTTCATATTGATACAATTATAAAGACAAGTACGCTGAAAGTCGACAAATGACATTTTGAATTTGTTTTCTTATATATATACCAATAAGAACTATCCTTTCAATCATTCATTCATTCATCATCATCCGTGTATGTAACATGGATAAAGTGTGTGGTCTCTTTGCATTGAGGAGAGAAGATAACTATGCTTGCTACTATTCTTTGAAAGACAGAATATTACATAAATTGAAGTTTTACTCTTTAGCTGAACTTCAAAATTATTTGTTATTTTTCATGGATGTTGGCCCTATTGCCTGTGCCAGTGC